TGTGTCATACAGGACGCCGAGGGAGCAAGCCAGAGCTGGTGACGTGGGGTCTGTCCCTCACCCGTGCTAAGGCGGTTGCGTTACTCTGCAGAGAGACCGTCTCCATCCGCATCCGGGCCTCCCTCCAGCAGACCCAGCTCGTGCCCCTGCTGATGGCTCACCAGCACCTCCGGGCGAGCGTGGGCGCGCAGGTGACCGCCGCCGCAGCCATCCTCGCCGGGGTCTACGCGCTGATCATATTCGAGGTAGTGTCCCCACCTGTCCTCCTGGGCTTGTCCGTGCCCACAGGAAGTGGCCCGCAGCTCTTCGGGTGCTCGGGGGAGGGGAGGCTTGATCCTGCTCTTGATCAAGAAGACACTGGTGGCACCAGTGTGTCTTCTGAGGAGTCACGCCCCCCTCAGTCCGGTAGGACATTGCTCCGCACTGGAGCGTCTGCGGGACCTTGGCAGCTGACGCGTGGAAGCAGCCAGCACTTACCTGAGAAAACCGAACGTGCATGTGACTTTTTCACTCTTGCTCTGCCCCTCCCCCACCGTACGACCTCGAGGGGACACTGCTGGCCTCTGTGGCGGGGGAGGCATGTCGAGGTGTCCCTACCTGCTTTACAGGACTGTGCACTTGATGGGGACTCGGGGCTCCCCGGCTGTGTGTACGGGGTGGGCACCCTGGGTGCCCCCTCCTGGTGCCGTGGTTTCCCTTGACGGCCCCCAGCTGCGAACCTCAGTGGCCACGCGGAGGAAGGGCCATCTGTCACTCAGCCGATGCGCCTCTTCACAGACGATCTGCCCTGGGCGGCGGCCGTTTCTGGGGACTGTTAGTGGCTCTGCCTTCCACAGCACGAAGCAAAGTGTGGCCACCGCCTGGGCTGCAGATCCCTTGTTGACTTCACCGTGAAACCAGATGTCAGCGGCACGTTGCGTGTGGGCTCCCGTAAGGCCAGCCTGGGAGTACAGGGTGTGGCACTGAGGGGTGTTTCTTAGCGACCTTGGGATAACACAGGAATGTTCCAGAATGTGGCCAAGAACGTTCCGGAGTATGCGGTCGTCCAGTCGCCCAGTGAGGGTCGTTGCTAATGAGTTGCGTCCCCAGTTGTCCAGCAAGGTCCACTTGTCGGTGCGGTTTCCACGGCCCGGTGCTCTGCGTTTCTGCCCCGACTTTTTCTCCGCCGGCGTTACCCCCGTTTCGAGTGGTGACAGGACCGTGACCGCCCACGCCCTGCGCGGTGTTCCAGAGGGACTCAGGCTCAGAGGCAGTGCCCTGGGCTGGGCGTATCGCCGTGGCCAGCGGCAAGAGGGCACTCCGCAGCGGGGAGTGGGGAGCAGGACTTTGGCTGGGGGGGGGTGGCCCAGGCACCCCCAG